TACAAACTTGGTACAAAGTCAATAAAAACTCCTACCAATTTCGAAGTGCTCGTGTGCTAACGTGAAATTCTCTTCTGAACCCACGTGGGGTTCGTAGCTAAAGGGTTTTAGGGTTTGAAAATAAAGTGTTCCGTTTTGAACATTATAAAATCTCCGTTTATGTGGATAATGGGAGAGGAAGTGAGAAGAGATTTCTCATCGTTAGCTAAACAGGGTTGAACGAGATTATATTTTTCATCACCGTCCCTAACCCAACCCCAATTCCCGCTCTACTCCACCCTACTTCAGTATCAGTGCTTTTTTGCACGGTTGCTTTCATTTCAATATTAATATACATTATCAATAAAATATAAATGTTATATCAATATATTAACACTCACATATCATACAAAAATAGATTAAAATAAGTCGAACATAAATATGAAAATAACAGGTAAGAAAACAACTCGTGAACAAATAATAACAGCTATTAATAGCCAAACATGTTTTTGTCTATCAACTATCAATGTGTATCATTGATATGACGTAAAAATGGACTATATAAATAAATGTTCGGTGATAGACGTAAAACTAATTAAGAAATTATGCAAAATATATGGTTTAAAAAAAGTGTCATATTTGTAAATTATTTATTTGTGCAGTAATACACGATAATTAATTTCATCGTCTATTAAAATTAAAATTAATGTGGAGTAAATGAGTTTTTTCAAACGGTTCGGTAGATAGACGAGCATAAATATGAAAATAACTAGTAAGAAAACAACTCGCTAACAAATAATAATAGCTATTAATAGCTCAACATATTTTTGTCTATCAACAATGTGTATTATTGATATGACGTAAAAATGGATTATATAAATAAATATATTAATTGCCGTTTAATCTGTATTGTTGTAGCAAAGTATTCCACGTCTTCAAAACGTTGAATTTTATTTTATTTAATTATTTTTTATTATAATAATTTTAATATATAATTTTGACTTTATAATTTTAATGAAATTTGTAATTTAAAATATTTGTAAATAAATTTAAAATATTAAGAGTAAAATAAATTTAAAATTTTAAAAATTTAAAAACTAATATATATATATATATATATATATATTGGAATTGTTGAAGGCATAATAATGAAGGTGGAAGAATCTTTTGATCCACGTGAATTTGTAGGGCGGCTTTCACTCTTCTTTGAACATTCCCGCAAAATGTCACCCTTTCATTGTTTTTAAGTTTAAATATATTTTTATCTGTTCCAAAATTTTAAAAAATTACGTTTTATTTTAAATTTAAATAAGAATTTTTTTTATAATGTCCAATTTTAATGTATAAAAGTTTTATACTAAATAATTAAAAGAATTAAAGTAATTATTAAATTATTTGAATTTAAAAACAAATAGATTAAAATATAAAATAGTGTTTATAGGTCTAATTTTTAAAAATTAAAGGATTATGGGAGACTTTATTTTTAGTTTTTTCTAAAATTTTTAAAATTGTATTTATTTTCTCGTCTTTTATTTGAATTTATAGCAAGAAAAAATTTAAAAAATCTAAAAACCAAATAATTATTAAATAGGATACCGAGTTCAATCACGGACAGGAGCGAAGGAGCAAAGCTATGAGCCAATCAGGTTTCGGTTCAGGAGTTCAATGAAAGAAGGTAATAAAAATTTGAGAAGTGCAATTAACTTAAGTATTAACCTAATTAATTAAGAGGTCTATATCATTGGTTAAAAGATTATTGGTCTAAATTTTCATCCTAAAAAACTATTAAGTTTAGTGATTGTTGGGTGAAAGGTTGAACATTTAATCTTGTACGGGATTAACAGCTTCAATGGAATCTTGTATTATGGTCGGAGGAGAAATTACCAAACGTCTGACATTCCCTCATGCTCTTTGTAAACGCAAGGAATAAGCTTTTTGACTTTAACTCTCCCGCTATCGTCGTAGCTTTTTTTTTTAATTTGTTTCGAAAGTAGCTGCTTCAGCCGGAATTTTTGCCTCTCTTTTCCACGTGTATATGTTAGAATGTTAAATTTTTCCATTCCTACTTTTTCCAATCCCTTTCCTTTGTTTACATTGGTTTCATAATTAGTTTAAATAGAGCAGTACAAATGAAAGTTAAATATATATGATGATTTAATTATTGTATTTCGTTAAGAATGAGAAATAAAATTGGGATGTCTTATTCACAAGGTTTAAATAGGATACCGGCTACAGCTAATATCTTTAAATAAAAAAAATATAAATTAATTAAATATTGAAAATAAAATAAAATAAAATTAGAGTTTGATATGGTTTGAATACGCCGGTAGAATTAAAAGTGGAAAAAAGTGTGATTTTTTTTTTAGACCAATTAAAGTGGATTTACTTAATAAAAAAAATTAGCCTTGATTCATTGCTCCATGCAACAATGGAATGAATAATTTGTAATATAATTTAGGGAGAGATTTTGATGATTGAAATTCAAGAAATTAAATGCCAAAAAGCCATTTGTCTGGTCAATGTTTCAAATCTTCTAAATCAATTTTGAAATGACTTTCTAACCCCTCCTTTGTTCATGGGACCTTCTAACCCAACACATTCAAGAAAATGATAAAAGAATAATATTAATATATATATTTGAATAAGGATATTTAGGTCTTTTTATTTATAATAATGACGTTATTTCAGTTATTTATTTATCTAAATTGTATTTGTTTTCTCGACATTTATTTATTTGAGAAATATTTGAATTTTTTATTTTATTTTATTTATTTATTTATTTTACAAAAATTAAGTTTTAAAAATGATTTTGAATTTTTTTAAAAAAATAGATAGTTTTACCCAAAATAATAATAATAAAAAAAAAACTTGGAGATGAAATTCGTATTTGTAAATTTAATTTTTAAAAACATTACGATAAGAAGAGGGAGGGAGATCTCCGGTAGGCGGTTGACCTCTTTAATGACATCTCTTCTTTGAACCAAAATCATGTCCTCGATTTAGGACCACAAAACAGAGCTAAGAGGGCAATAAAGAAGAGGGAGGGAGATCTACTATAGGCGGTTGACCTCCTTAATGACATTTGTTTTTTGAACCAAAATCATGTCCTCTATTTAGGACCACAAAACAGAGCTAATAAGGTGACAAAGAAGAGGGAGGGAGATCACTGGAGGCGGTTGACCTCCTTAATGACATTTCTTTTTTTTAACCAAAATCAAGTCCTCGATTTGGGACCACAAAAAACAGCTTTTCTGTCGAAGTACATGTTCTACCTTTCTCAACATAAAAAAGAAGACTCACACCACTTGTACTGTTACTTAAAAATGTAACTTTTTTTTAACTAATTAAATATATGTACTTGAAAATATAGTACTTTCAACTTAGTTGAGTGAATAAGTTAATACCATTGTTGTGCTAAAAATTTTAGAAAAAATATTATTTTGGCAATTTTTGTGTGAAAGTAAATATTTGTCATTTTATAAAATATTATTTCTCATTTAATTTCATTAATATATTACTAATAAAATCGTTATAAATCTAAGATTTTCTAAGATTTTAAAGAATTTAAATCATAACGCTTATATATATATATATAAATATATATATAAATAAAAAATGTCAGAAAAATAAAAAAAAAAACTTACCATTAAAGGCAAGGAAATCAAGAGTACTATGTCATACAATTAAATTCATCATATTAGTTAATTTTAGCGTATATTAAGAGATAAGACAAAACTACATCTTAGGGAATTAAAATACTCCCGGCCGTACCAAAAGCAAAAACATCAAAATTCAAACAAACAAATAAAAAATTAGAATCAAAATAAAAATATAAAAGAAATCACAGCAAATTTATAAATAAAAAAAATAAGTATTAAAGGAAGTAGCAAATCATAACCAATAATACTCCACCAACTATATGGAGGACCTCAAATAAACTCATAGACTGAAGTTACAAGAAGAAAATAGGATCCACAAAACAAACAACATGCACACAAAGAAAAAAAAAATCAAACACTTCAAATTCGATACTGAATAGGACCATATCAAGCAGAAAAATCACAAGAAATACAAATTCAAGCAAACTCAATACAAAAATTTATAATTATATACATGTAACAAAACAAACCCTAACTAATTTATAAAATTATAACATAAATGACAAACATGCACCAAAACAAAAAAAGAAAGAAAAAAAAAATACTTGTGACAAATATTAGATTTAAAATACAATAAATTTATAAAATAAAAGAAAAAAATTACAAAACAAATAACTCATAAATAAAAGTCAAAAAAGAAATAAAGGAAATTAAACACTTCAAATTCAATAAAAAGAAATAAATCAAAACTCAAACAATTACAAAAATTTAAGATAAAAAATACAAATATCAAGGCTAAGCATTAAATAAAAAATACAAATATCAAGACTAACCATTAAACTAACAATTTCACTGATGTCACAAATCAAAGAGAACACAAACAAAGAAAGAAATCAAATACACCAAATTTAATACTAAACCAGACAAACCACAATGCAAATAACATGGTAGGATTAAATATAAATCAAAACAAAACACAATAAATTAAAAAAAAAAAAAAAACAAAACAAAACATGAAAGAGAGTAGCAAACAATTCGACCATAAGCAATCAAAACTCAAACAAACCATTACAAAGAATTAAGATTAAAACACATATTTAAACCATCAAAACTCAAACAAATAATTACAAAAAATTTAAGATCAAAACACAAATATTACAAATCAAATCAAAGAGAACACAAACGAAGGAAATACAATCGATAAAACATGAAATGTATAACACAAAGGACAAATACAATCGATAAAACAACAAAAACAAAAAAAGAAATCAAATACACCCAATTTAAATACTAAACAAAACAAAACAAATAACAATGCATGTAACATGCACAAAAATTCAAAGAACTCACAAATTTAGGATTAAAATACAAATAAAAACAAACCACAGTAACAAAAGAACTCATGAAGAAAAGTCAGCGGAAAAATTAACCATGTAAGATGCACAAGAATAAAAAGAAACGAATAAATAAAATATTTTTTTGAAAAAGTCGGTTAAAGATCAACCATGCAAATAACATGAACAAAAATAAAAAGAAAAGAATAAATAGAAAAGAACGTGCATAACTACCTGTCAACCGCGAATTCCATGAGTGGAAACTTCCTTCTTTTTCATCTCCTCATTTGTCCCTTCCCTGATTTCATTTAATCTGTAATTTTTTTTCACATATTTTAGCAAAACAATACTTAACGAGAACTGAATAATAAGATTCAGTAAATTAATTTTAATTTTGAAAAAATTAGCTGGAAGATTGGTAAAGCACGTGCGATAACTACCTGTCAACCATGGACTCCATACGAGTTGAAACTTCCATCTTTTTCATCTCCTCGTTTGTCCCTTTACTGACTTCATTAAATCTGTAAATTTTTTTTCACATATTTCAGCAAAACAATACTTAACAAGAACCGAATGATAAGATTAAGCAAATTAATTTAAATTTTGAAAAAGTTAACTCGAAGATTAGTAAAACACGTACAATAACTACCTGTCAACCACGGACTCCATAGGAGTTGAAACTTCCTTCTTTTTCATCTCCTCATTCGCCCCTTCACTAACTTCATTAAATTTGTAAAAAAAAAAAATCCACATATTTCAGCAAAACAATACTTAACAAGAACTGAAAAATAAGATTAAGCAAATTAATTTAAATTTTGAAAAAGATAGCTGGAAGATTAGTAAAACACGTGCAATAACTACCTGTCAACCACTGACTCCATACGAGTTGAAACTTCCTTCTCTTTCATCTCCTCATTTACCCCTTCACTGACTCATTAAATCTGTAAAAAAAAAATTCACATGTTTCAGCAAAACTACTTAACAAGAACCGAAAAATAAGATTCAGCAAATTAATTTAAATTTTCAAAAAGTTAGCTAGAAGATTAATAAAACACGTGCGATAACTACCTGTCAACCATGGACTCCATAGGAGTTGAAACTTCCTTCTTTTTCATCTCCTCGTTCGCCCCTCGTTCGCCCCTACACTGACTTCATTAAATCTGTAAATTTTTTTCACATATTTCAGCAAAACAATACTTAACAAGAACCGAAAAATAAGATTCAGCAAACTAATTTAAATTTTGAAAAAGCTAGGTTGAAGATTGGTAAAGCACATGTGATAACTACCTGTCAACCACAGACTCCATACGAGTTGAAACTTCCTTCTTTTTCATCTCCTCATTTGCCCCCTTCCCTGACTTCATAAAATTTGTAAATTTTTTTCACATATTTCAGCAAAACAATACTTAACAAGAACCGAATAATAAGATTCAGCAAATTAATTTAAATCTTGAAAATGTTAGCTGGAATATTGGTAAAGCACGTGAGATAACTACCCGTCAACCACGGACTCCATACGAGTTGAAACTTTCTTCTTTTTCATCTCCTCGTTTGTCCCTTCACTGACTTCATTCAATCTGTAAATTTTTTTCACATATTTCAGCAAAACAATACTTAACAAGAACCGAATAATAAGATTCAGCAAATTAATTTAAATTTTGAAAAAGTTAGCTGGAAGATTGGTAAAGCACGTGCGATAACTACCTGTCAACCACGGATTCCATACGAGTTGAAACTTCCTTCTATTTCATCTCCTCATTTGTCCCTTCGCTGACTTCATTAAATCCGTAAATTTTTTTTCACACATTTCAGCAAAACAATACTTAACAAGAACCGAATAATAAGATTCAGCAAATTAATTTAAATTTTGAAAAAGTTAGCTGGAAGATTGGTAAAGCACGTGCGATAACTACCTGTCAACCACGGATTCCATACGAGTTGAAACTTCCTTCTTTTTCATCTCCTCATTTGTCCCTTCGCTGACTTCATTAAATCCGTAAATTTTTTTTCACACATTTCAGCAAAACAATACTTAACAAGAACCGAATAATAAGATTCAGCAAATTAATTTAAATTTTGAAAAAGTTAGCTGGAAGATTGGTAAAGCACGTGCGATAACTACCTGTCAACCACGGATTCCATACGAGTTGAAACTTCCTTCTTTTTCATCTCCTCATTTGTCCCTTCGCTGACTTCATTAAATCCGTAAATTTTTTTTCACACATTTCAGCAAAACAATACTTAACAAGAACCAAATAATAAGATTCAGCAAATTAATTTAAATTTTGAAAAAGTTAACTCGAAGATTAGTAAAACACGTGCGATAACTACCTGTCAACCACTGACTCCATACGAGTTGAAACTTCCTTCTCTTTCATCTCCTCGTTCGCCCCTTCACTGACTCATTAAATATGTAAAAAAAAATTCACATATTTCAGCAAAACTACTTAACAAGAACCGAAAAATAAGATTCAGCAAATTAATTTAAAATTTCAAAAAGTTAGCTGGAAGATTAGTAAAACACGTGCGATAACTACCTGTCAACCACGGACTCCATAGGAGTTGAAACTTCCTTCTTTTTCATCTTCTCGTTCGCCCCTACACTGACTTCATTAAATCTGTAAATTTTTTTCACATATTTCAGCAAAAACAATACTTAACAAGAACCGAATAATAAGATTCAGCAAATTAATTTAAATTTTCAAAAAGTTAGCTGGAATATTAGTAAAACACGTGCAATAACTACCTGGCAACCACGGACTCCATACGAGTTGAAACTTCCTTCTTTTTCATCTCCTCGTTTGTCCCTTCACTGACTTCATTAAAATCTGTAAATTTTTTTCACATATTTCAGCAAAACAATACTTAACAATAATCGAAAAATAAGATTCAGCAAACTAATTTAAATTTTGAAAAAGCTAGGTCGAAGATTGGTAAAGCACATGCGATAACTACCTGTCAACCACAGACTCATAGGAGTTGAAACTTCCTTCTTTTTCATCTCCTCGTTTGCCCCTTCCCTGACTTCATTAAATCTATAAAAAAAAAAATCACATATTTTAGCAAAATAATACTTAACAAGAACAGAAAAATAAGATTTAGCAAATTAATTTAAATTTTGAAAAAGTTGGCTCGAAGATTGGTAAAGCACGTGCCATAACTATCCGTCAACTACGGACTCCATAGGAGTTGAAACTTCTGTCTTATTCATCTCCTCGTTTGCCCCTTCATTGAATACTTAACAAGAATCGAAAAATAAGATTCAGCAAATTAATTTAAATTTTAAAAAAGTCAGCTGGAAGATTAATAAAGCACATGCGATAACTACCTGTCAACCACGGACTCCATAAGAGTTGAAACTTCCTTCTTTTTCATCTCCTCAGCCCCTTCACTGACTTCATTAAATCTGTAATTTTTTTTCACATATTTCAGCAAAACAAGAACCGAAAAAATAAGATTCAGCGAAATTAATTTAAATTTTGAAAAAGTTACCTAGAAGATTAGTGATAACTACCTGTCAACCACTACCTTCAAACTTCCTTCTTTTTTCATCTCCTTGTTAGCCCCTTTACTGACTTCATTAGCAAAACAATAATTAACAAGAACCTAAAATTATGCTTCAGTAAATTAATTTAAATTTCAAAAAAGGTTAGCGGGAAGATCTGTAAAGCACGTTCGATAACTACCTGTCAACCACGGCCTCCATGCGAGTTGAAACTTCATTCTTTTTCATCCTCTCATTTACCTCTTTGCTGATTTCATTAAATCTATATTTAAGCAAAAGTATGATGAACAAGAACCTAAAAATAAGCTAAGTTAGTTGGAAAATTAGTAATGAAGTGCCACAACTACCTGTCAGCCACCACCTCCATGGGAGTTGAAACTTCCTTTTTCATCTCCTCAGCCCCTTCACTGACTTCATTAAATCTGTAATTTTTTTCACATATTTTCAGCAAACCAATAATTAACGAGAATCGAAAATTAAGATTCAATAAATTAATTTAAAGTTTGAAAAAGTTTGTAGGAAGATTAGTAAAACCCGTGCAATAACAACCTGACTTCTTTCTTTTTATCTCTTCATTTGCCTCTTTCCTGACTTCATTAAATCTGTAATTTTCTTCACATATGTCAGGAAACAATAATTAAAAGCCGGAGAAATAAATAAATTGGAGCTAAACATATAACATCAAAAAACAAGACTATATGTGGCAAGCAAAATATCACGACAATCAAGGACACCTTAGCACCATAACATTTACAAAATTATCAAAATTTAATAGAAAAAAAAAACACAAACCGAAGCAATTTATCCATGATTCTTATATTTTATAACCAAGAATTGAGAATATAAATATCACAACTCTATAAGACGGGGAAAGCAATAGGCAAACAACACTTCAAATTTAATACTAAACGAAACAGCTCCGAACAGAATTATCACATGCAATCAAAATTCAAACAAATAATATCGAAGATCTAAATCAAAATACATAAAAGGGAAACCACAGTAAATTTTTTCAAACAAACAATATCAAAGATCTAAATCAAAATACATAATAAGGAAACCACAGTCAATTTATAAACAAAAAGAAAAAAAAAATTGATTGAAGAGAAAGTAGCAAATCATTCAACTAACATTCTCACATTCTCACATTATAATAACAATGGGGAGAAACAATATCAACAAAACAAACAATATAAATAAAAAAACAAAAATAGAGTAAAAAATCAAACATTTCAAATTAAATACTAAGGGGAACATATCAAGCAAAATCATCCCAAAGAATCAAAATTCAAACAAACACTCGCACAAATTTCGAATCAAAATACAAATATCAAAACAAACCCCGATAAAATTATAACATGAAAAAGAAAAAATGAATCATGAAAGAGAAGCAAACCATTGAACTAATAGAACTCCGTTGAGATTACAGATTAAATCACTCACACACAAAAACCACACAAGGAAAACTAGGATCAACAAAGCAAACAACGTAAAAAAAAAAAAATCAAAATTCAAAAAGAACAACATGCACACAAAGAACACTTCAAATTCAATACTAAATGGAACTGTACTGAGCAAAAACATCACAAACAATCAAAATTCAAATAACCAAAAACATCACAAACAATTAAAATTCAAACAAACAAAAACATCACAGACAATCAAAATTCAAACAAACAAAAACATCACAAACAATCAAAATTCAAACAAACAATGACAAAAAATTTAAGATCAAAATACAAATAAAAAATAACAAATTAATTAACGGTAAGAAAAAAAAAATCAAGAAAATAACAAATCAATTAACTAATGAAACTCCATTAAAATTAGGGATCAAAGAACTCATAGACAAAATTATAAATAAAATAAACAAAGCAAACAATGTAAACAAAAAACAAAACAGAAAATATTAAACCCTTCAATAGCATCACAATCTCATCACAATCACAATGAATTAAAATTCAAACAAACAATCACAAAAACATAGAATCAAAATAAAAATATCAAAACAAGCCCAATAAATTTATAAAATAAAAGAAAATAAACAATGACAAACATTTAGAATCAAAATAAAATTATAAAAAAGAAACAACAAATTAATAAATGAAAGTAAAAAAAAGAAAACAAAACAAAGCTCCATTGAAATTACAAATTAAAGAACTCAGACAAAATTCGCAAGAGGGAAAAAATAAGATAAATAAAACAAACAACATGCACAAAAAAAATAAAACAAAAAAGACCAAACACTTCACATTCAATACTAAATGGAACCATACCAAGCAGAATCATCCCAAGCAATCAAAATTCAAACAAATAATAACAAAGATTTAGAATCAAAATATAAATACAAAAACAAACCACAATAAATTTATAAAATGAAAGAAAAATATATATATATATAGAAAGCACTAAACCAAAAATAAAAATAAAATAAAACTCATATTATAAATCAAAAAACTCACAAACAAAAGTCATAAGAGAAACATAGGATCGACAAAACAAACAACAAAGAAGAAGAATGATGTACGAACCTCCCCGGCAGTCTCCATCTTTGTTGTGTCATTGTGATTAAGTTGGCTAAATCAATAACATTCCTAACTATACTCTACTAAGATTATAGATAAGAATACAAACAACAATACATTTACAAAAATGTGTGAAAAAAGAGAAAGCAAGAGAGAAAAGTAAACCATTGAAAAGATTAGTGCACCGATCAGATCATAACTTTCTTTGTCAATATTGTACTAATCAGTAATAAGTTACAGGGGATAAAATATAAATAAGTATCCAAATAAGTATGTTGGATGATGAAAGTCTAATTTAGTGAATGATCATGGGTTTTATAATCAAGGAATACTATCTCCATTGGTGTGAGGCATTTTGGGGAAGCCCAAAGCAAAGCCATGAGAGCTTATGCTCAAAGTGGACAATATCATACCATTGTGGAGAGTCGTGTTCATCTAACATGGTATTAGAGCCATGCCCTAAAACTTAGTCGTGCCAATAGATTGGTAAATCCTCAAAATGTCGAACAAAGGACTCCAAAAGAAAAGGAGTCAACCCTCCTCGAAGGCATAGTAAAAAATGACTAAGACTCCAAAGGAGTCGAGCCTCGACTAAGGGGAGGCGTACTTTGTTCGAGGAGAGGTGGTGGATGATGAAAGTCCCACATCGGCTAATTTAGGGAATGATCATGGGTTTATAATCAAGGAATACTATCTCCATTGGTGTGAGGCCTTTTGGGGAAGCCCAAAGCAAAGCTAGGAGAGCTTATGCTCAAAGTGGACAGTATCATACCATTGTGAAGAGTCATATTCACCGGTTATGCTCAAAGTGGACAATATCATACCATTGTGGAGAGTCGTGTTCACATTCACATGTCTAAATTAAATTCCTACAAAAAGAATGAAGATAGACTTTACGGGAAAGTGATTATTTAAGAAAAATGATATAAAATATACAAAATTTAAGAGAAAAATAACTATTTTCGACAAGTGATGCACGTGTAACACAAGTTAAAATGATAAATTTAACAAACTGCAATTGAAAAAGCATTCCACCATCTCCCAACTATACAAGTGGAGAGACACATATGGAGAGATTAAATGATAAGCGCCTTGGATTCATATCATTAAATTACCGATATAGGCCACAAAACTGTGTAACTAGTATAACTGAAGGTTGATTGTTTCTTACCGACATTTGAGCTGCCTTTCCAAGAAGCTATATTTGCTTGTATAACTGAAAGTTGATTGTTTCTTACCGACATTTGAGCTGTCTTTCCGAGAAGCTATACTTGCATGAGCGTATGCGGCGCAGACCAAACACTGGAAATTTAGCAGTAGCGTGTGTGACATTGTCAAGATTACTTGATAAAAGCAGAAGAAAATACATTGAAATCTAAAGCTAAGAGTTCGAGATTTACTTTAACTGGATGAACTAATCAATAGCCATGGGCATTTCAAGCGATCTCATGAGGATACTGCCTGCATTCTTCTAAGGTTGCATAGTCTAGTCGGAACTTTGTTTCCTGTTCCTCTTGGGCCTTCCCAGCTGAAACTAAATTCACCATCTGATCATGTACTCAACAGAAACTCCACCATTTTTGGGGAAAAATCAAATCAAACTGTGCCACTTTAATATACATGAGCCCAGGCACACAAATTGAGTCCATTAGCATTAAAATCAAATGGATCTAGCCCATACCAAGCTCAAGGATCATAAACACAAGAACCACCGGAAGTTAGATGGATGCACTGAAAAATGTATGAATTAATTAGGCTTAATCTATCATATAATAATGCTAATCTTCATTCTAAGTAAATCTCAGTCACACATTACAGATAACAATAATAACATAACGTGGAAGTAATATACGAAAGAAAACTTGAAGTATCACTAGAAAATTAAGCAATGTTGAAGTATCAAACACAGGATCTTAGGATCTTACAAAAATCAGACACATACTCCAACCAAAATAATCAATAATCAATAGTCAATTAAAAGAATAGAAAGAGACAATAAAAGGAAAATTGTAATACCTCCAAACCAGCAGCAAAAGTGATGAGTTGGGGTGGTGTGGTGTGGATATAGTCTGTCTGCACTTAAATTAACATTAAAAGGAACTAAATATCGAACGAACAAGTAATCAATTATGTGGCGTAGATGAACAATCGTTGTGAAATAGAAACATGAGCATGAACAGTTAGAAGCTCACACAAGGAAATGTACAGAGTTGTGTATAAGAAGAGGTGATACCTGAAATTAGTTGATTCATTGCTTACCATTCCGAAGCCTAGCATGAGGATAAGGTAGAAACCTGAAATTGCTTTCAAAACAGGCTCCTGAGGAGGGCCCTGGGCGTCCTGATTAGACGACGAGTCGATTAGGTTTCATCGCAGGAGCAAGGCAGAACAGTTGGTTTAGAAAGTGAAATCCTCGAGATACAGAGTTGTGTATAAGAAGAGGTGATACCTGAAATCAATTGATGTATTGCTACCATTTCGAAGCCTTCATATCGTAGCATCGCCTTCTTCAACGAACACTCTTCTTTCTTCTCTGCGTTTCGTAAATTGAGTGCCAGATAGCCGTTATTTATGTATTCTTTTTTCTTTTATTTAATTCCTTAATTTTCAATTCGGTTGGTGGAAAAGCCCAAAGCCCAAAGCCCAAAGCCCAAAGCCCAAATCTTTATTGTCTAATTCAAAGCCTCCGCTCTTTTTTTCTTATTCTTTTTCTTTTTTTATTTAAATGAAAAATGAAATAAATGCCTCTGCAGCTCATCAGATAGAACTACCCTGAACTTCCTTCAAATTGTGATCGTTATGGGGAAGAAGCTTTGCCGGTTCAGAAGAAACCTCCATGCCGAAGAGTAAAGGAGATGACTACCGCCATCTGATTACCGAGGATCGATTGGAGATGCAGTCATTTAGGTTTATGGATGTTTTTCCTTTCAAGTAAGTCCGTGTTTTCTCTTTTGAATTGCCATCAAATGTCGTTTCGTTCGCTCGAACTCACTATTACGGTCATGCTTGTTTACTCAATTTACATGTAAAGTTCGATTTTCATATGATTGACTTGTTCGCTCAACAAGTGCGGCACAACCCGTCCCCAAATTTCAAAGGTATTTTTGTATTATTTCACCTATTCAGCATGGTAAAGATGAGATTCAAAGAGACTGAAATGAGGCAAAGAATTAGTACACGAATTTACAATGCTTATTAACAGAAAAGTGAGAATCCAGTTAAGAAAAGATTCACATACCAAGTAAAAATATATAATAAAACTTGAATCAAACTAACAGAAGGGGTTGAGCCCAGTAAAATCAAAAGTTCAACATTTGAGGATTGTGATTCTTCTTCACCTTGATCGGCCCAATCAATACGAATACGAAAACGAATACGAATACGAATAGGGCCAGGGCCATTAAATCTTTTTCTTGTGTGTGGCTTTTGCAGTATAACTTCATTAGCCGCTATCAAATCCCACGTTGCTCCCCACTAGAGAAACCAAGATACAGCCCACCTCACCTATTTCGAGCGAGAAAAATCGATCCTGAAAAGGTCTTTTCAACTTAATTGGGTATAAAATAAGAACGAATTCCCTGTCATAATAGAGATTCAAACATTATTCATAATAGAGATTCGAACATTTGACTTTCCAGAGAGACGTATACTATTGGTTACTCAAGTTGAGCACCATATTAGATGTCAAACTCCTATTTGAGTATAAATCTCTTTTCACAATTCCGAAAGCACTGAAACACAGATTTCTAGATGCTCAAGAAACTCGAAATCAAAGTACTAAAATGATGGATACATATCAGCAACACAAAATATAACCATCTTCTCCTCAATAAGTCGTCCCATTGTAGCATACGAAACGCCTCTCCCTAGCAAGGTTATTCTCTTTTACACATGTTTATAAAGAAGGGTTATGTTATTCCATTGTCAATCCGTTGAATGAAACTAAAAATCGTGTGATATATGCTGGCCAATCAATCAATATGTATATATGCTGAAGACATAATAAAGAATAACAGTAGAGAAGAACTTCAAAGACCTGATAATCAACGCAGAAAGCACTTAAATCTCCATCTTAACCTTCATGTCCCCGTTTGGCAACATACTTTGTGATTGCGCTATCCTTTTTGATTCCTGCATTTGTTGAAACAAGATTAAAATTCGAACGCAATAACACAAAAACATAATGAACGGAAATGTTGATGAATAAGTGAAAATTCGTAAAAGAAAAAATAAAAAACAAGAGTTTTCGATATAGTATATCCTTGTGTCTTTTATAGTTATAATTGATTCACTAGCTGTCCAAAAAATGTAGAAGTTTTTGGTTTCCCATACTCGTACATGCTATGGGCACAAAGCTATAAGATGATGAGTTTGTTAGTAAATATTGAAGGAAAGGAACAGTCGTCTAAAAAGGTTATCACCCACATATTTTAATATAGCAATCCAGGTTTATTTCCCATCAAATTTCAATCAAATTGATATCCAGCCATTTGATCTCAGAAAATGATCTGGGAAATAGGAAATATAGCTCAAATGTATGGGCAAAAGTAGCACGCAAATCAAGCCAATACTCGGACCGATTCCACAGAGACCAAAATCATCTGACAATGGTGGCTAGAATCATATGATCTCATTCTGGGAATTGCATTTATGGATGGGGATCGAAGTTTTAGCACCTTTGTAAAGACACCTTGCATCACTCGAGCTTAATTTCCCTCTTCCAATGAGGCTAACGCTAGGTTGGAGTGGAAAGATGAGGAGATCCACAAATAGTGCAAATTACAGTTGGGAATAGTTTTTGGGGTTGGGTGTTGATTGATCTGGAAAATAGGAAAATATTGGCATGATTTATGTGCTTCTTTTGCCCATACATTTGACCAATATTACGGGTTGGATTGATAGTGGAATGGGAGAAATCAAACAATTCAACTAGACAGCACAATCGAAGGACACAAACAGAAAAAGATGGGCGAAGATGGGCGAAGATGAACTGAACTCTTATGAGCATGAATTAAATTCTACACCTCTTGCTGACATTTATCAAGAAAGCCACCAATCCATGGTGAAAATTTTAAAGGCCAACTTACTTGAAGACAGGAAAGGACTTGACAATTGGATTCTATGGTTGCCCTCTAGAAGAAGATATTTAAGCAATGATTGCAGAAGAACCTCTTATCTAAAGCAAGATGGATGTAGTATGTATACATAGTTGGGAAATTTTTGTGCCCGTAAGAGGTTATATCTTGTGTATTCCACTGATATTGCATTAAAATTTCAGCTCCGATCAAATTTTTGGTATCTAAGTCACAAGGACAGGACTCATTCTCGTTCTAATGTCCTTATGCAATATAAGTTTAATTCGCTTGAAAGGAGCAATGATACAATAACACTTAGCTATGGCACCGACATGAATAGTGAAACTTAAAACTACCACCAAGTAAAAAAAAAAAAACTGAGTACCCTAATTTCCACTGGGGCACGTGAACAACAGACCTTGATATCACAAAATATTTACTATGCACCGAAAGTGGAAAGATGGTTATACAATTAGAGGCAGTAAGTACTCCAAAGCTAATTACAAAACTTTGCTCAACAAACTAGAAAATAAAATAGTTTAATCTGATTCTAAATTCATTAAGCCATTTTATTCATAAAGGAAAGTATTTTTGAGGTAAAATTGGCTTGAGAGATGTTTAAAAAATAACCAGAAAGTAGTTTTTAAGCAAGCAGCATTCAATCAACCTATGAATCATAAAACAAACATGCTACTTGTTTCCTCTTATTTTTTGACACTAAGAAAAAACCAACGTAAACCATACAACAAAGTAACTATAACCTGCAACCAAGCTCAAAATAACAGAACAGAACTTGTCCAATATCTTATATTAAAACCACTCCTACGTGTAGTAGAACAGTCTAAAGAGTATGTGAGTCTTAATAACTTAACATACAATACAATTAAAGTAATGAACATCCTCCTACTATACCTAGAACTGACACCAAAACATAGTTTACATTTTTCACATCTCTGATGTTATATCCAAAACCACCAAAAAGATATAAATGGCCAAGAAATGCTTGTGAAAGGATGAGGCGAACTTCGAAAATACATATACCTTATGGCTATAGATAAAGTAAAAAATTAAACCATAAAAGTGTAGAAAATATTTTGATCAGTTTGAAATGAAATATATATATAGAAAAATTGAAGGTAGAGATAAAATTGACAGCAGGAAAGAAATTTCAACTCACGGCAGCAGAAGCAGCACGAATTTCTCTATAAGACTCAACTTCATCAGGAAATGTCTGTTCAAGCTCCTCCAAAAGATGCTTCCGTAAGCCCTGAATATGGTAAGCAGTACAACATTCAATAAATATTTTCTTGAATCTTTGGAATCAAGATAAAAGAAAAAAAGGTATAAGTATATTTTTAACAGTATGCCCCATAGAGATGTAAAGACTACCTTGAAGGCATCAGTTTTGCCTTTTGTACTTTGATTTTTTGCAATGCAACTATTTAAGACATCCCTCGTGAATTCATCTGGATTCTTCCCATCATCAATCAAGCTAATCAAAAGAAAAGTAAGAAATGGGCCAAGAAGAATAGAAGAGTTAAAAAATAATAATAATATAAAAAAATACGCTTGCAAAGCTAGAAACCAGAATAGGTGTACAAAGACTCACTTAACAACCTCCATAGGGACCTGGATGGTGCACTTCTCTGATAATTTAACCATGTTATCAAGCTCCAAAACGAGAGAATTACTGCAAAATCCAAAAACATATCACTGATATAGAGTGGAACGAGTAGTGAATAATGAACGAATCAGACATTAGATGAAGCAAAACTGGACGTACAGGCGTTGTAAAAGAGGCAGCTGATAGGCAGCATTGAAGTTAGAAACGGTGAGGTTGAGCTGATGGAGGATACCCAAAGTTTTCTGTATGGAATTGATTACTTGGTTCAAGTTTTGCTTTGAATCATCCACAGTAGTTGATGCTGAAGTATCATTGATGACTGATCCATTCCCACCACTTCCACCAGTTCCGGCAGCAGAAGATGCATTCTGAGCTGAATCCATTATCTTCTTTTCACTTCCTAAATTACTTGGATGTCTTAAATCCATATTTTCCAACAATTCATTATAAAAGAGAATTGGCAAATAGTTGATCGTTCTGTACATAAACTCAACAACTACTAACTCTCCAAACTGTCAAAATACCATTTCAATTTTTAACAATGTCACAAAAACCCTACTTGGGTCTTGCTTTTCTATAAAAATTTATCATAATTTTCGATTTACTAAATATTTCCCCATTTGGAAAGCAGCTGCAAAACGGTTATCGTGAAATTACTATCCTCTGACCGCGAAGGGCCACTGAGAAACCCCAACTATGCGAACCCTAAAGTGAAGGGACTCGATCTATTAGCTCAACAGTATCCTTGAGGGAGGAGAAAAAACAAGCCCTACGACTAGTTGAAATCCCACAAATCATAGCAAAAATAGTAACAAGCTTGAATGAAAACAAAATCAAACCACGTCGCCGTAATCCAAACTCTCTCACAAATTAGAATTACAAAAATCATGGACCGAAGAACAACAATTCTCAAAATCGATCGACAACGACGAATGAAATCAAAGAATTGAAAATTAAAAGAACATAAAACTTGAATTACTTACTAGTTCGAGGAAGGTTGAGGAGAAAATCGGGTGGGGAGCAAGGGCTGAATGTTAACCGTGGGAGCCTGGAGCTTTGAATCCGAGAGGGAAGTGGGAAAAGGTCTAATTTGGGGGTTTTAATGCTAAGCAGCGAAAATATTATTTAAATATCACGTGAGGACTTCAAAAATTATTTCAATTTTGCCCAAATTTAATAAATTAAAAAATATTTAAATTTTTTTATATATATTATAATTTCCATTAAATTTTGAAATTTTAATTTTATATCAATTTTATTTATCAGATTATGTTATTCTTAATTTTTAAAAATATATTTTTGCTCATAATTATATATATCTTTTATTTAATTTTTATAATTATTTCTTTTCCAACAATTTATAAAAATTAATTTTTAACGTAGTTTTTCAAAAAAAAAAAAATTGAAATTGAGCTTCCTATCTTAATTTAATATTTAAAAATAGATAAATAAATAGAAATTTACTTATTAATATTTTAATTTTATTTAAAATTAAATAAATAATTTAGGTTTATTATTTGTTTTAGTTTAACCCGACCACACGTGAATACTCCCTCTAATTTACTAAATTTTGCACGAACTGTCGAAACTTTTTTACCCCCACGTAAAAAAAAATCATAAAATTTAATCATTTTGATTAACGTTGGCTCCCATTAATTACTATAATATAGTTGCCGACAGTTTTTATCGTTCAATGTTTGAGAAAAGACCGTAAAAATATTTAAAATTTATATTAAGTTATTATTATTTGCCTAATTATTATGAAAATGATAGATACTTAAAAGATATTAATTTATTAATTTAAAAGGGTCATACTCATAGGGACTAATGTTCAATTTTTGTAACTAATTGTTACAAAATGGAAGCTCCTTCGCTTCCACTTTGGCTATAGCCTTCTCAAACTGGCTCCATTTTTGGTCCAATGTGCCAATATATCCAACAGACATTCTTATGAGCCCGGGCGAGATTCCTGCGAGTTCCTTTTCCTCTCGGCTCATTTCACTACTCGTGCTACTACCCGAGCATGACATTAGGGTTTCATAGTACCCTAAACTCACCGCCATGAACCCAAATTGTGTGGTGTTTTGGAGTATATTCATGAGCTTGTTCGCCTTTTCCTCAGTTCCCATGTCAAGGCACAACATTCCTCCAAACCCGTATTCTGAGTTCACCAAGCTCTTCATAAGTTGGTGCTGTGGGTGATCTGGTAGCCCCGGGTATATGACTTTCAACCCTGCCTTCTTCATTCTCTCTGCAAACTCCGCTGCTCTTTTGCAATGCTCCTTCATTCTCAAGCTCAAGTGAGGGATTCTCTCCGAGAGCTCGAACGCCACCTTTGCGTTCATGGTTGGCCCTAGAAGCATCAAGCTACCCTGTCGTAGGTCCATCATCGAGTTCACTAGCTTCGAAGGCCCACATACCGCACCTACATATCCCGTCCAATCCAATCCTCTACGTTATATCGCTACTAAACTCGATATATATACATATACATATATATATGATTCATCCCATCACAATACAAACAAAAGCACTTTTAGAAAAAGTGGCTACCAAAAGCAAAAGGACTCATAATTCACGAGCAACCAACCACAAAACCTATCATCTGTCATCACAGGACATGACCCCATTCGCCAACCAATATTTATAAATCTTTTTTAAACTAAAAATTAAAAAATATTTTATTATTTTTCTTCGTTAAAAACGATGAAAATAAAAATATATATATTATTACTGAATTGGGTAATTACTTCAATGGTAAATTTTTTCAACCTGTTTTTAAACATTTAATTAAAATTTAAATTAAATAATAAAAAAATATGAAAAAAAAAAGTATATTTTAAAATTAATAATAAATTCATATTTATTTCGAGTCTAAACATTGTAACTTTTACCAATATGAGCAAAGTTCAACTGACATAAAATTTATGAAAATTTAAATTTGAAAAAAAAAATTTCTTTTTAATTTTTTACCATTATTAATAGCAAAATCCTCAATTATTGATGCAAGTTGATATTACTTTCCACTTTTTCCAATAGTCACGGAACAAAAAACTAGACAAAATAGCAGGGATGACGTCAGCACTAAAAAGCACAATTTTCATTTTTATATATTTTAATAGTAAAAATGTTAATCAGTGTATTTAAGCATTTAAAGAAGGTAAACGCTACCAATTAATAATTAAGAAAAAATATAATAAAGTAAGAATATACATTAATTTTTTTTTTTTTTTAAACCAGATATTAAAATTTATTTTATTTTTATTAAGTAAATAAAGTTTAAAGAAAAAAGAAAAAAGTACCTGCAATGATGTCAGCTCCACCGCTGATGAACTTGGAAATACTGTGGACGACCACGTCAGCACCGAGCCTCGCCGGAGACAGAACCATCGGCGTGAAAGTGTTATCCACCACCACCGTCAGACCCTTTGCATGGCCAATCCGACACAGTTCCGGTATATTCGCCACCGCCAAAGTCGGATTCGAAACCGCTTCAAAATAAAGCACCTTCGTTTTCCCTTCCACAATTTCCTTCTCCACCTCCTCCAAATCACCTATGTCCACAAACGACGTCGTTATATTCGAAGTCCTCGGGAGAAAGTGAGCCAGCAACGCGTGGGTCCCACCGTAGAGGGTTCTAGACGCCACGACATGGTCCCCGCTGGCGAGGAGTTGGAGGAGGACGGCGCAGATGGCGGACATTCCGCTGGAGGTACAGTAGGCAGCAGCGGTGCCTTCAAGGGCAGCCATCTGACGGCTAAGATTCAACACCGTCGGATTGAAATGACGACTGTAAATATAGAAATCACGGTCGGGACCAAGCTCTCCGGCGAACATCCGCCGCATCGTCTCCGGTTCCATGACGGTGAATGTGGCGGAGGCTTCAATGGACATGTTTACCCCTCCGTGTTCACCGAATTCGTGACGCGTGTTTGCAATCGCAGCCGCTGGATCCTCGAGGAGAGACGGAACCATGGCCGTTGATTTCTTAGGATCGAATTTTATCGCCTCGGTTTCATCGGAGGCCGATCTTTTTGCGCCGCAGACGCCATGGTTCTTCAATTCGGCCATCGAGTGCAAAAAAAAGGAGAATTTTTGTGAGGATTTAAATTTTTTTTGTGAGGATTTAAAATTTTAAAGGGGCGTTTATATAGAGAAAAAATGGTGGTGAGGGGTAAAATCCGAATAAATAATGTGGACGTCTTTTAAGGTCTGTACATTTTTTTTTACCAATTTGAAGTTTGATTTATTTTTAGGATAAAATACTATTTTCGTTGAGTGATTTGAGACGGTAACTAAATTTAGATAATTAAATATATATATATACATATATATATATTAACATTCCTTTCATAAAATTTTGAAATTATTATTACTATTTAACTAATTTTAATTAGGGGTTAAAAAAAAAACTTGATCGACCCAACCAACTCCTTACGAACTTATTTTGGTTAAGTTGAGCAGGAAGTAACGAAAAATTTATAAATTTAGTTAGTTCATAGAGTCGGTCAAATTAGATAAATTTTTAATTTTAATATATATATATATATATATATATATATATATATATATATATATATATATATATATATATATATATATATATATAT